AAAAATTTATTTTTTTTGACATCCCTTTCTCTTACAACGTAAAACTCTCCTTTCCTTACCTCTCTCCTTATGTAGGTATAAATTCATAGCACTTCTACACTTAATACATTAGGCATTTTCATTATTTGCCACAAGATTTTTGCWGATTAAAAAAATTGTGGTAGATTTGTCACTTCTAATTATTATTACTTTTGCCAACATATTGGGCCAGAAGACCACATACTATATGACAGCCATAATTTGTTACTTATTTTAATATTTGGTGTAATACATTTTTTAATTAGAATTTGAATTATTAATAAAAATGAAGGCGCWGTGAAACATAACCATTTGAAATTCTGAATAAATAAGAGAAAAAAGAGAAACTATTTTAAATATTATTAGGTATATTATTTATGAATTACATAAACATACTAAGTTGGACTTAATGGCAAGACTTTAAAATTAAAACTGGACCATAATTGTATTCTAAATTTAACTACATATTAATATAATATATTATTTTTACTATAGTTATGTACCAGTATTTATTTCATCTTCAAATTGTTTCCATTTAATTCTTTCTGGACATTGTTTATCTGTATACATTAGTAACAATACAGATAATTCTGCCTCAGGATAATACATTAAGCGTAATGAACTAACTCCGATYATGTCTAGACACCTGCGAAATTGTGTTACAGTTATATGTCCTTTTCCATRAGGATCAAAAGCCTACATAACATGCAAAAGTTAATATTTAAAAAWTTTCAAATCAATTWAAACATGTCAGTTTTTTTTTACTTTAAAAAATTGGCCAATATCTATTCGATTTGCAAAAACGTAATTTTGAAGGTTTTTTATTATTATTAATACATTATCCTTTACATGTGTTTTATTTGTTATTACTGGATGATTAACATCTTTATTACTGTATGATCTTGTACTAGTTTCTTTAATTTTGTCTTTTATGATCACCTTTACAATATAAATTATATTATTTAATAATTAAAAATTTTATTTAGTAACACAAATAAAATAATAATTAATAAAACTATAATTTTTTATGCAATGATATGTTATTGCATAAACATTTTAGTACAAGAACAGCAAAATGGTTTTAGTTAAATTTTATCTCTATGAATTTAAGTAGAAAATTTTATATTTGCATCAAAAGAAAAAAAAATTTCAACTATGAATAACATTTTTAAGATTTTTTTATCTATTACCGAATTTACAGCTATAAATAATTTTATTATACTTCATAAAAAAATGTTTTTGTGGTTTAAAAATGTACTTTATGTTTTTATGTATATTAATTATTTTTGGACATAGTGAACTATATTTTGATTTACATTGATAAATTTGTAACTAAAATAAGTAAAAAAACAGGTAAAGTTACCAAATAGTTAATAGGTAAGAATGTATAATAGAAATAATTTAGAATACTTACTTCATTAGAGAACAATTGTAGGTTATTTTTTTCCATCCAGTTCAATTCATCTAAAAATGTTTTAATGTTAGTCTAATGACAATTGACAAAAGCTCTTAAGAGATATAGATTAATAGGTGTTTTTTTAAAGGGAGGGAGGTAAATCTTAAAACATCAAAAATAAAACAGAAGTTTATTTTTTCCTATCCTGATGGTTAGATGTTGTATAGATACAACATTTTATTTTACTAATTTCTGCGTATTTATAGTTATATGAATGCTATTTTGCTTACCTACCTAATTGAATTTTAAATACGATTTTTTTATATTTTTAGGTAATATCTCACATCAGTTAGAATCAAACGTATTTTGTTGAATAGTTTTATAATTCCTAATCGATTATGTCCAAAATTATAATTTAGGTTTTTTTTTATTATTGTTGATAAAGTTATAACAAAAGACTATGATGGGGAACGAAGAATGCAAATAGTGAACTTTAAAAGGTTTTAACTCTTAGAGAAAGTGTTTAAGCCCAACTGACAGATATTTGTATTGAGCAATTGTACTTAGSTASGTAAATCGGTACACAATATCCATTCCCAAAAATCAAGCAAATATAGAGCAAATACTCCATATTATAACTGTATATCTACTATCTAGATTTAAAATGTAATAGGTACCTACTTAAATATTGTACATGTTAGTAACCTATTAGTTATTACATTGAAAATGGCAAAAAAATTTACTGGGTACTGGGTACCATAGGCGGTCCCAGGAATTTAAATCAGGTACAGCACATTAAATTATAGTATACTCATAGTTATGTACGTATATCCCAAATTCCCAATATCATTACCACACATATAAATACATACTTACACACACACAAATAAACATTTTATTCCATTTTTCTACTTGGAATTTTAAATCTTATTTATTTTTATAAACAGTTATGAACAATTATAAATTATAATAAATTAATATTATTATCTCAACTAATAAAAAAAAAAACGTGGATGGCGAATGAAATGTCAGGTGCAGCACAGGCATGCACCCGTAGGACCGCCTATGATTTATACAATATATTAATAGATAGGTCATAGGTACCTAATAATCAGTATCGCAATTTGGAATTGGTTCTGGGGTGGGATATAAATTTATATTATCGTCTATCGACCTACTGCCCTAGTACTTAATACTTATTACTTATAGTCTCTACTCTCTAGTAGGTAGTAACCTCCTTGACAAATTACCATTAAATTTCATAGATCATAATATTGTATTAATTTGTTATTATAAAACAGTAAATGAGGTAAATAGTGTAATAATGRTTTTTCAAGTTATGTTTTAACTATGAACCGTACAATTTTCTTATCATATATTACAATTGTTGAGGTATGGTAGTTTTAAACTAAAAAAATAAAAAACAAATCTTAACTTAGATAATGTTCGTGAATTCTTATTTCTTATTTTAAAATCTTAAAATTTTTTAACGCCAAAAAAAATACGCCACGCCACTCCTTATAATAGTTATGCATAAATTGTCATATACTCAAACCTTCATTTGTCTTGGGTAGGTCATTATGTATAATTTCACAAAATTTTCCATATGGCACTTGTCCATTGAAATTTTGAAAATAGCTGACTAAAAATTGTATTTCTTCGTCATTCAACTTAATGATAGATTTTAATGGTCCAGACAATGAATTTTCGAATATGATACCTCAAGTATAAAAATAAATACTTATTAGTTAATATATAGTAYAGGCATAATCCAAGCGTTAATAACTGTTAATAGAAACTTATTTAAATATGAATAGAATGTTTGATTATAATTACACGTTACAAATCCAGTTTTTCTTATATCATATATTAAATAATATTCCCAAAAATTAAATTTGATGAAATTCACTACTTCTCGAATTTTGTTACAAATTGTCCAAAAATCTCGTTTAACTTTAGGTGTGTGCTAAAAATAAAATATCAACATCAGGTTTTTACCTATATATTAAGTATAGTATTTCCAAATATATACTCTTAAACATAAATTAATAAATTACCTTCATTAAAACGTTGTAAATTTTCAATTAGTTATAACTTTAAAAATTTAGCTAATAAATAAACCATAATAACTATTAGCAATTTATTATAATAGTATATCTATAAATAATAAATATGATGTATGAACATAATACAAATACAAAATATAGGTACACAGATAAAAATTATTATTGGCCAAATGCGGTTGTGAAACAATTTTCCAAAGATCTATGTAATATTTCATTTATTATATACCAATGTACACTGTACAGCCATTGGGCGATGCATTTAATTATTTAAGTGTCACACTAATTGTTTGTAAAGTTTTAACTTCTTTAAAATATATTTTTTACTTGATAGAGTGTCATTTCAAAACATCATATTTTTCAAGCATATTTTTATTATTTTTTTTTTGTAAGTTATCATTTTTAAGTTTTTAGTTTTTGAATAACAGGCGTGCGCCTACACAGTGAAAGGTCCACAGAGGCGTCCAGGGGTACTCAATCTCTCTTCTATAAAAAATTATATTATTAAACTTAAAATTAATTCACTACGTTTAGAATCTAAAATAATATAAAGAAATTAATAATTTGAAAATAATTTTGCATCATCAGTTATAACTTTTAACTAACATTCCTGTACATATTTTATTAGTATTTAAATTTAAATATCAGAGAATTATTTTGAAATATTTACTCATGTAGTCATGTGATATTTTCCAAAGTTCACTTTTTCGATATAATTATTTTTTTGATTCAGAATTATTTTCCATGAATATATTTTCATAAATTAGGAATCTCTAAAAATAATTTTCCACTTAAATATTTCCTTAAACTAAACTTCATCAAATTTGATTTTAGTGATTTTACCAAGTAGTATTTTTCCAGTTAATATTAATTTATTGTTACCATTATAAAAGTTTTCCAGGTGACTATTTTCTTAACTTTTGATTGTTATTTTTGACGAAAATTACGCGTCACCAAATCATTATATGTTATGATATTATATTATTATGAGCTGTGACACAGTCACGCAGATTAGTCGACATAATCTATAGGTAATAATCTTTTAAAATAATATAAATTAAATATTAAAATTTACCTAAGTTTTGACTGGTAAATAATCAATATAACGCACAATTTATATTTAGATATTTAGATAACAATGTTGAATTCATGAATTTACAGAATACCTCCCTCCTTCTTTTAGATGAAACACATTACATCAATTAATTCAGTAGTGGTCTAAGTGCCAGTAAATAAATAAAATTATCTTTCTAAATTAAACGGTTGAATAAGAATTTGAGGATCCAATAAAAAATGGTATACTTATATATAACGTCTTTGTTCCGTTCACCTGTTGCGACATCTGATCCCCTCCCCATAGACCCGTTACGCTAATAAAGTCATAATAAGATTATTAACTATTACAAAAATACAAAATATACTATATTGATAGTACCGTACGAAAACACAAACAATGGGCTGGGTGTMGAATTTCAAATAGTTTAAATAGATTTTTTCTTGTAGACTGTAGTTTAGTTAAAGCATTTTGTTCAGTTTTTGTTGTTGTTTTTTTTTTTATATTTGTTTGAAACCATTTGAACTAGAAAATTTGTTTCGATACGTTAATAATTTAAATGATGTGATATTAAAATAAAATGGCTTTAACAACATTGAAATTACTAAGMCTGTTACAGTTTATTCAGGTATTCGTATTTCATGTACATGCTGATTATACTTGGCCAAATGAACTTAAATCTACCAAAGGCTACACGGAATGGTCTGGAGGAATTGTTACTAATCATCATCGCTTAAAAGCCGATCAAAGCCCTTACTTTATTTTGAATAATGTCATTATCGAAGATACTGGCCAGCTCATTATAGATCCAGGTGTATTACTTAAATTTTCACCGAAAACCGGGATCACCGTGAAAGGATCAATTATTGCAAATGTAACRTATTTTAAAAATAATCTAATAAATAAACTTATTTATTTATATTAATAACATATTTTTTAGGGAGATGCTCATAATAAAATTGTAATGACATCTAGTGCTAATGTTGAAGACGCGGACGATGCTCTAAGTCAGACTTCTTCAAATATAAGACTTGTAGATGGTCCTAGTATACTAGCTGGACGTTTACAGTTATTTCATAAAGGTGCTTGGAGATCAGTTTGTACATCAACACAGTAAGGAAGCTCTAATCTGCACAATCTAMAGTAAATTTCCAAATGATTTAACTAAATTTTGTCCTCTTAAATGTATAGATGGAACAATGCAGACCTCCAAACAACATGTCGGCATTTGGGTTTTCGYGGAGGTAAATTTTTACGTTGGATGGAACCTGCAGTAGATAAGCTTCACACACGTCTGCTATTGTCTAATTTGCAATGTAAAGGGYTTGAAAATGATTTAAATAGTTGCAGTGGATGGGAAAACAAAAAATTAGGATCTGGTAGTTGTGGTAAGTTGAAGTATCTATATCAATTACTTAACATTTCAATTATATTTTTAAGTATATGACTCATCATGAATGAATCATCATCATTAATCTCTAATTATTTATTAAAATATAATTTTCAGATCTTAAGCAAGATATTGCTATTGAATGTCAGCCGTATTATGAAAACAGCTTTGCAGTAAAAAGTTATTGGAAAGGTCTTAAATTTGAAAAAGCTCAGTTCAAAAAATCATTAATAAATCATAACACTCTATATCAACCAGTATCACTATCAGAACTGAATCATGTTATATTAACGTATGCAATTTATTTATTCTTAATATCTATCTGTTTATGATCATTAATTCAGAGGCATATTTTTTGGATTGGAGACATTTATGTAATCTAATTTTTAAAGTTATTTTAATAATGTAGGCTATCTTTTGTCTTCTGTACATTTTACTCATGTCTAGTAAATTCTAAAATGATGTCGCTGGATTAATAATCTTTTAATTTTTGTATTTTTTAGTACCTATGATATTTTAAAAATAATTGTAGGTATGCTGGTGTTGGTGCTGAATTTAAATCTACTTCAGTCATAGAAGTTGATGGAGTACCACCATTATTAAGAAATGTGTCAATATTACATTCTGCATACAATGGTATCAACATAACCACATCAGATTCTATACTAGATTTGCAAGACTGTATTATAAAAAATAATAGAGGTACTGTACTTATTGTATAGAAAATTTTGTTTTCATTATTTCATATAATACTATTGTTTCTACATCAACCATGTTCGTAACAAAATACRATGTTTGGTTAATCGTTTTACTGTTCATTTTTTTTTAATAATATTATCTTAAATATTTAATATTTATTTTCAGGACATGGTATTTTTATGAATTCATCATTTGGTCAATTGAGTTTAATGAAAACTTTGGTGTCTAACAACAAAGGTGATGGCATACATATGGTTCAAGGCAATGTCAATCATGATCTCATGAGTAATGTTAACGAATTGTGTTCTCTTCCAACAACAACTAGTCAAACATTTCCTGTTCTTGTTTCTGTTCAACAAAATAGTTATAACGCTAAACAAATCAACTGCTATAAGGTCTATACATATAATTTTATTTAATATAATATTATTTACACTAAATAATCTATATATTTTTAACTGCAGAGTTTATTCACTAAAATTGGTCAAGTCTTAACTGTAAATATTGAACATACTCGTTCTCAACAACTTGACAACAATTCATTTATATATATTTATGATGGAGAAGTATCGACTCCTGATAGGTATTTTTTATAAATTTGATATTTGTTATACTGTGTTATGTTATTTAATATAAAATATATATTTTTAGGCTTTTAGCTACTATTTCTGTACTCAACAATACTGTACCACAATCAGTAACATCAAGTCGTAACAACATACTAATTCAATTTTCCGCACCGGCTAGAACAAATGTATTTGGTCTTCTCAGGGTAACATCAGGATTTGGTAAGATAATAAATCTCAATTTATTTATATTTATTGATTGGATAAATTATCTTATATTTTTATAGTGAAATGGCATAGTATTAATATATCTGAAAGTATTCTATCTGATAATATTGGATCTGGATTATTTGTTGAGAATTTATACAGCGCTGTGTCAATATTAAATTCTTCAGTGCACAACAATAGTGGAAGTGCGGGAGTCAATATTTATAATGGTTCTGCTGATCTAACTATATTAGGTTCAGATATAGTGTATAATAATGGATTTGGAATTTTAACCAATACTAACGGCGGAGTGCGCAATATTACGTATTCATCAATCAAGTCAAATTCAGGATCTGGAATAGCTGTTCGATTATTGGACAAAATAATCAGCAATGTTCCTCAGAAAACAATTTTAACATATTCTCAAATCAATAATAACACAGTAGAAATTGATGGATGGTGTCATGGCAAATCACAGATCAATGTAACGGGGAATGTTTTTAGTTTCAGCATTTATGCATTAGAAATAAAATCATGTATTGAACGAGATGCCACCACAACTCATGTAATTATATCACACAATGAATTTTTTAATAATAAAAAGTTGGCAGTACTTATAAAACCAATGCTTAACATGGATGYAATTTTGGAGTTCAATCGATTCAAAAAACAAGAGTATGGTTGTATATTAATTAGAAATGAACATTTTGATGAAGACTTTGATGAAACACCAACGAATGCTTTACTGAGATATAATGAATTTTATGATAACAGTGGAAGTTWTGTCGTTAATTTGGGTTTAAGTACATATAGTCAACTRCAAAATTTGCTATTCACATGGAATTATTTAAAGAATAATAGAATAACTCAACCTTTTAAGTTGGTTTCAAGAAATAAAGTGGCGGCAGTAATTGTTGTTGCTTCTTCTAATGTAATTATTATGAGAAATATTATTGAAAACCCCYTGTCAAACTATGAAATAGGAGTACAACTTGAAGATCAAAGTCTTGTAGTAAATACTACTTATAATTGGTTAGGAAACACGGATGATCATTTTATCATAAATAGACTGTTTCATAGGTAA